ATTCCTGCAGAATACTAGAAGGCAGTGGCCCAAACTCCCGGCGGCATCGAATGGCTTAGGAAGTTATGCAACGCATGCTGGTCAGAGGAAGCTGTCCCCCCACGCTTGGCGGCGCTCGTTGGTATGCACAATGTACAAAAAACACAGGGCCCGTGCACATTTGCGACAATTACAGACCAATCAGCTTACTTTGCGTGGCGTACAACATGGTGGCAAACTTACTTCTAAAACGATTGCAAAATGCTGGTGCTGAAGACCGGCTCGATGCAACACAATTTGGCTTCTGCAGGGGGCGCGGCACGGTAGATGCAATACATATGGTACGAAGGCATATAGAAGTATCAAACATAGGGCGAAATGGTGGCTCAACATTCGTCGCGCTGGATTGGAAGAGAGCCTTCGATCCAATTAATGTGGATGCGATGCTCGTAGCTCTTGGAAGATTTGGTCTCCCCACGCGCATTTTGGCAATGATCAAAAACATATATACTAACAGGAAGTTCTGTGTCACGGATGGTGGGCATAAGTCGAGAGAGAGGCCGCAACATTCAGGCATCGCGCAGGGATGCCCCCTGTCACCGCTCTTGTTCGTGATGGTGATGACGGTGGTAATGTACGATGCGGTGGAACTCCTCGACGAACAATCAAAACTTTCGTTCAAAAGTGGTATTAGATCAATTCTGTTGTACGCAGACGATACTTTGATTCATGGCAAAAATCAACGAGACGTTCAAAACTTGTTGAATGCGGTCGCCACCGCTGGGGGGCAAATTGGCATGGAGCTGCATTGGGATACGTTTCAAGTTACGCACGTAAACAACAATATGGAGTTATTTACGCCTCACGGGGAACAGATACACGCAAAAGACAATTTCGTATACCTTGGGGCTACAATCTACAATACTGGGCACATCTACGCAGAATTGAACAAACGACCGGGGCAGGCTTGGAGGGAATTCTGCAGGTATGCGAAAATATGGAAACACACCTCAAGCAGCATCAAAAGGAAGTTACAGAACAGAATTTCCAAACGATGGTCACAAGCAAAGTCTTGTATTCCCTCAGCTCGGCATGGTTCAACAAAGCAGAGAAACGACGATTGGACAGTTTCCAAGCAAAGTGCCTCAGGAAAAGATTGAATATCCCCCATTCGTTCATATCCAAAGTATCAAACAATATCGTTCTGGAGAGAAACCAACAATTGCCTTACACATCGCAGTTATTGCAACAACAACTTCAGCTATTTGGGGAGATTGGCCGGAGCCCTGATTCTCATGCGCTGCGTGCCGCAACGTTTCAACCTGATGGCCTCAAGCTGGTTACGCTACCTTGCAAACGTGCGCGGGGGAGACCAAAAAGAGAATGGGCAGCAGGATTGTTTTCACTTATTTCTCCTTGTTTCACTAGTTCTGAAGCTTTAATGGACACTCTGCTAGACAACAAAAAATGGGACGCGTTAGCAATCAAAGTTTCCAGGCCAATTGAATGCGGAGAAGACGAGTACCTATGATATGCAGTGCATGGCTTGTGCGTCTTGGCAGGACACAAATACATCATCATCTTCCTCCTCCGCCTCCTCCTCCTCCTCCTTGCGCCTTCCCGGCGCGCATTTGGCGCGTCCAGGCCACTTGGGCACGCGTTTGGCGTGCAATCGTATGTTCATCATCTTCCTCCTTCTTCTTCCCTCCGTCCGCTCGGCGCGCATTTGGGGTGTCCAGGCCAGGTTGGCGCGCGTTTGGCATGTCGCTCTAATTTTCCTTGCCCACGCGCTTTTGGCGTATGGCTGCTTCGTTCGTTCTGCTTCGTATTGCGAATGAAAACGACGTAGACGAAACAACAACTGGAAAATGGACGGCATGCTCAGAAGAACAAGCCGCGGACTATCCGCCGACCCCCGCTTGCCAATCGTGAACGGGTGTGAGATGATTAGCTGTCATCCCTCCCCTATTCCCCCTCCTCTGGAGTCCGAAATCCCGTTAGAGCGGGGGGTAGGGTTCGAGCTCCCCAACGCACCTGTGGGGCCGTCGGGGCTTCAAAAGTTAGCCCTCGGTAATCGCCACAGTGCCTAAGATACTTCTCACGATAGCTCCTAAGGGCCCAAACACTCCAGAGAGGCCTTAAGAACACCCAGTACAGCCTCAAGACGCGAAGAGAGGAAGGAACCCAAGAGTACCCCCAAGACGGGTTTCAAGAACCAGCATACATTCAGCGCTTTATCCTGCATGGTTTTCGCGTTCTCGCCTGTTTGGGCGTCTGCAAGCCCCAAGGTGCGCAAGAGGCTTCCCAGGCGGACACAAGACGACCCAAGTAGCCTAACAGAGCCCAGACACAGCCAAAGAGGGTCCAAGACTGCAAACATAAACGGGGGGGCCCAAAAGGGGCCTAAGAGAGGACCCCGCAGGGGACCCCAGGAACTCCCCCCCAAAGATGGCCCCGATACCCAGAACATCACCCCAGAGGGCCCCCCCAAAGCCCCCAGGAGCTTTGAAAACGCTCCAGTAGGCGGCCACTTCAGCCTCCAAAGGACTTCAAGACGCCTCGCAACATACGCGGAGGAAGATGACGCATCAGCAATAATTGCACGCAGGCAGTACGACGGGAAGCGGCAAACAACCCTCACGACATCGCAAGTCGCACACATCTTCTCCTGGGGGCCGGCGGAATGGCGTAAGCATCTTGAACACACATTGGCATAGCCATAACCGAAATCATCATTGGTCCCACGGTCGGATACCAAAGGTGTTAGCTGTAGCAATGCTCATGTAATGCGTATATCCGTTCTCCTCATATTCTCTGGCCTATTAACGTTTGCCACCCTGATCCGAATCTGGCTTGAACCTCACCGTCCGCAAGCTTCCGACTCTGGCTTTCGATCCCGCCGCCCACGCGAAATCGCCCTCGTCACCGTCAGTACAAATAAGCCGAGGCCCGACCTCTTGCAATCGCCACGCACAGCCTGAGATCTGAAAGTGACCTAGGTTGGCGGCGTGCAGATGGGGGAGGGTGGAAGGCTTCTTAGAAGGAGGCTGCTTCTTAGAAGATGCCCGTCTTACACTGATAGATCATGCCCGCGCCTTCTGGTAAGCAAGTGTGCTTCGAAGAAGCCGTCCCCCCTCCTCCTACCCCCTCTGCGCGTGGCCGAATGGAACACGATGCCCTCCTGTAGTCAGATCAGAGCCAGACTCGGACTTCGAGTCGGAGGTGGACGCGGATGCCCTCGTGGAGTTGGATACTGGCGGTGCATAATGAATCGTTGGATAAGGAACCCAGGGTCTGGGAGCAGGTGGAACTCCAATCGTGGTGGCCATGGATGTCACCGCCGCCTACATCAAATACAGAATCCTCCAGGGTCTGAAACTTCCTGGGCACATTCCTCAACGAACGCCCCAACCGTACCGTCTGGAGTCGGATGTTGTCTCACCTAACTTCGCGCATCGCGCCCTGCGATGCGCGATGCGCGATCATCTTTGCGCCCTGGCGACCCCCCCTTGGATAAGGGCAGCCGCTCTGGCCCAGACTACTGAGAAGAGCAAACATGTTCGTCCCCACGAGAGTACCCTCGGTCTCAAAGTCGGATGCCGTCTGGCATTCAAGTCTGAACTCGAACTTAAGCTTGGACGCCTTCTTGGAATCAAATACCGTCTTGGATCATATCTTCCGTCGGAAGTGGACCTAGAACTCATCTTGGCCGTCCTGAAGTCGGATGCCGTCCTCGATGTGCCCGCCCTTGTTGGTTGCATCAAGCGACGTTTTATTTGAAGCAAGCTTCGGTGCCACGGCGTGCTCGAATCGGATTGGAAAGCGGGTGTTCCTTTATTATTCATGGGAAGGCGCGCGGTATGGGGTGGAGGGTGGCGGAGGCATAACGTCTCGCCCCACGCCCCTGCAGTGGCCTCTGCGCCACCAGGGCACCCGCGCGCACCTCTTGCCCCCCCCCCCCCCTGCAGTATGACCCAGCGCCGCTGGAGCACTCGCGCGCACCTGGACCTTGTGGTGACGACGACGACGACGACGATGACGGGGAGACGGCGACAACGATTGGGCGACGACGACGACGTCTGGACGACGACGAGACGACGATGCAAACATGCAAACGACGGACGACGACGGCGACGACAACAACAACAGCAACACCAACACCAACAACAACACCACCTCCACCACCACCACCAACAACAACAACAGCAACAGCAGCAGCAACAACAACAACATCAACAACAACAACAACAGCAGCAACAGCAACACCATCAACAACAACAACACCAACAACAACAACATCAACAACGACGACTGGATAGGCTGCCAAGAGGGCCCCACGACGGCCCAGGCCCCCAGTAGCGCCTAAGAAGCTCTCAAGAGGCCCCGCAGAGGGGCCCAAGATGGGGAAAGCGAAGGGCCCTCGGCAGTGCACCCCTCAAACATTTGCCCCAAAACTCAAAGCATCTTCTCAATAGGCTCCCAGACGCCACCAAAACTCCCCAAATGAACCCAAGAGGCCCCCAAACTGCGTCCAATACGTTCTTGCAGAATACCCCCAAGCCCCACACATGCGCCCACGGAGGCCCTCCCCACTGGCTACCAGGGCTGGTTTCGAGCACGATTTGAGTTCCCTACATGGTCGCGCATCACCACCAGGCCTCTACGACAACGTACCCCCGAGGAACGGTATCCAGAGCCACAATGGGTCGGCGGTGCGGCGCGTATGATTCGGCCACACGCAAGAATGACTCTGGGTAAGAGTGACCTTTGGTGCGCGGCTGTTTGAGGGTTGCGGGAGGACCAACCACAAGCGCGAAAGACGCTACTATCGCATCGCGCTCGGCGATCGGGGGGACTCGGCGAAGGAACACTCTTACGTGTAGTCGAATAATTCTGACGGCATTCTCTTCCTCATCCTCCTCCTCATCCTCCTCCTCACCGCAAAATGTTCCGTCCCCTTCTGCTCATCCTCCCCCCCTCCGACGGTCCGTTCCTGGCCCGCCCGGTCGAGCGGGCTTTTCTCACCTGCGTTGGGCCACGGGCTCGGCAGGCGTGCCCGTGCGAATTTCACCCGCCGCAGGACCAGCGAGGAACCTGGCTGCGCGCTCGTCGTAATCATCGTCGCCTCTGGAACCGTGAGTCGTAAACTTAGACATGCAATAGCAAGCCCAAGAGCGGAAGCAGCAAGCAGAGGCGAAGAGCGCCGATCTGGGAGATGGTCGAGCGATCCCTCCCCGAAATCATAGAAAACATCGGAGACCCAGAGATCCCCATGCCAATCTTCATCGTATATACTTCTCCTTGTCTGTATCTAAGTAACCACGGCCCCCAAGCGAGCTTCCGCATGCAACAACCCCCCACGAAACACCAGAAGCCCCACAGGGTGGCAAACACCCAGAAACCACGTGAGAAACCAACGAAACTCCAACACCTTCTACACACTGTCCAAACGATAGCCACGCGGCTGCTCCACGGGAGATGCTTCAACCCCAGACATGCCGAAAACAATGTCTCACTGACACACACGCCGACCCTGCAGCTCCGTACTGCCAACGACTACTCGGCCAGCCGACACAGCGGTGCGCAAAAATGGGCAGGCGGAGTGAGCGAAGCGATTCAATGACCAGACAGTGCTTCTGCTGACGGGGTCTTTCTGGCGTATGCTGGTGCTGTCAACGCCAGGTGCCACTGGCTGCAGTGAGAGCAGCCCCAGTCCTACTGATCCCCCTCGCTCTAGCTGCCGCCTGCGCAGCTTCCCTCCTCTGGCCCCTGAAAGCCCGACTAGATCAAACGCAGTGGTGAACACTCGTACAAGCTGCCGTACCAGGAAAATAAACCCTATCAACCCCAGTGGCCCTACCAGGAAAATAAAACCTTTCCGAGCTACCACTGGCCCTCCTGGTAGTCCTGATTGTCGCCAGCGCTGGTCGCCCCCACTAAATCCTATCAGCCTTGGGTGGCTGCCACCAGTTCCATCTGCGCTGGCTTGCCGCCGACGCCGACTGCTTCCGCCGATCACGTGGCCTCCGCTGGACCTGGCCAAACTCTAGTCAATCCCAACTGCCCACAAGCGATGCCACCGCTGATTCCCTCCGCGAGAGGCCCAACTCGCCCACGTGGACGTTCCCTCTTCGCTCCCCTCCACGACGACCCATTCGCCTCCGCACAAGGTGTGGGCTGCTGGGTGGAGGGGCGTCTCGAGGGTGAGCAGGAGGGGTCGCTTTGCTGGGGGGCGGTCAGGCCGCCTCTGACCCATGATTGATCCCACCACTCCGGGGCCCTGGCTGTCGACGTCTCTGGCTGGTCAACCCTGGTCCCTGCATGATTAGCCAGTGGCTGGGACTGTTTCAAACTCAGGTTGCCGCTCGTAGCCAACAACCTGGCCATGTATGAAATGCGGAAGGGTTCATTCAACCATCTCGGTTCAGGTGATTTAAAGGATCGCCCGGAAAGGGGGTTCCCCCCCTGCCCCCTGGGTGTCGATGGGGATGGGGACCGCGACCAAGATGTCCACATGGCCTGGATCGCTACGGTACGAAAGGCTTCCACCTGAGAAAAACTTCAACCTGGGTCGCTCCACTAGCCCCTTTAGTCGTGATTGCCGCCGACGCCGGCTGCCGCCACACGTTAGCCCATGCCTGATCAACTCCACTAGCCCTGATTTCCGCCACAAATGGTCGTGGTTGCCGCCGCTAGCTTCCGCCAAGCCCTGCATCGCCGCCATTGGTCCCGCAAATAATGGTCGCCGCCAACGCTGATTTCCGACACCCGCCCAGACGCGGGGTGCCGCTACCGACATCACTCGGGGATGGACAGACCCCCCTTTAGTAAAACGTGGTTTAGTGAAAACGACCTGCGGCCCAAACATGGCGGGCGCAAGCCTGGAAAATAACGGCCACGGCGCCCTCTCGAGAACCGAAAACGGACAATTCACTCATCGACGTGTCACTGTTGGGGGTTCTGTCCACCCCCGAATCACTGCACCAGCCCCTGCCTGCCCCCGCCAAAGCTACTTGCCGCCACTGGACACTACTAGCCCCTGCTAGCCCCGATGGCTCTGGTTGTCACCATCGCTGGCTGCCACCGCCAGCCGCTGCCAATCCCTGCCTATTGCCACCGCTGAGCTCTTATTAGCCCGTGCCCTGCAAACGTTGACCTCGCTAGCCGTGAAGGCCGCCAACGCTGGCTGCCATTTCTGGCCTCTCCTCGCCCTGGCTGGCCCCTCCGTGGCCCTGGACACCGCACTGAGGAAAGGCTGCGCCGCGACCGTCACAAACCCAGGGCTGCCTCGCAGGCTGCCCGAACGGCTGGTCACGGCCTCTCCTGCGCTCTCCTCTATCACAGCGCGCACTGGGGCTGAACTCCCAGCCTCGTGCTTCTTCGGCATGGCTCGTGCCCCTGCTGGCCCCGCCTCGCACGGCACCACCTCGCCCCGATGGGGGAGCAACCATCCACGTGGCTACGGGAAGGGGGGATACCGAGGCAGGCCGAGGGGGGTCCGTGCAAAGGTTGGGTGGTTGGGTTACCGCGCACTGCGCGATCGCGGGAGTGGCTCCTCCGAGGGCGGCAAGGTGGGGAGGGCGGCAAGGTGGGAAGTGGCGAGAAGAGAAGGGCTCCGTGAATGAGGCGCGGAGAGGGAGAGGGGGGGAGGGAACGGAAGAAGGGGACGCGAGGGGGAAAAAGTGGCTAAGGGGGGGGAGGGGCGGAGGCGCGGCGCGAAGGAGGAACCAGCCAAGCCCCTGCCCTGGCCTGGGCGTCATGACTATTTGAACATGGTGTGCACCTCTGAGCTCTCGGCCCTTTCCCTGGGGCTGTTATTTCGCCGCGTTTTTGTTATGTTTTCTCTGGCCATCCTTTGCGAACACTATTTCTGCATTCAGAAAAGAAGCCATCCAATTGCCTCAAACACATGAATGCGCACAACAACGTTTGCTACTGGTCGTTTTCGGATGGGCCTGGGGCCCGACAGGACCTATTCACGAAAGCCGAAGTCGAGGGAAAACGCCAGCGACGTGCTGAGGTCGCAGGAGGACGACCATCTTGGCAAAGACGACAACGACGACGACAGACCCTCTCCTCCGACGTAGCAGTGGGACGTCGGCCCCAAGGGATCTCGACCACTTCCCGAGGGCCAGCGTTTTTCTTCCCAATGTCGTTTTTCGACAGCCCTGGGGCCATGAAGCGGCCTCCGGAGGCCAGAGAGGGCGAAAAGCCAGCCGTCGCGATTTTTTGCGTCGCCTGGATGTGTGTGTGTGTGTGTGTGTGCGGGGAGGTCTCGAGGGGGAAGGGGGCCAGCTCGGGGCAGAAGCATCGACCTGAAACTGGCGATGCAAATCCCACAGATCGGCCACAGGCCCCTGATAAGTGTGGGCTGTCGGACCACTGTCGGCGAACAGTGGGCGGTTGGGGGTTGATGCGTTCCCCCTGAGCTTATTCCCCCCTGCGTTGCTCCTGAGGCTTTAGGGCCAAGACTCGGCTCTCTGGCGGCTGTTCGGGACAATCTGGGCAACCTCGGAACGCTCTCGGCTAGGCGCAGACGCTGGAAAGCACCCCGAGGCTGGAGAGCCGCTGAGAACCGACGAAAACGCCTGAAAACCTCGAACCCCGAACCCGAAAAGCTCGAACCTCCCCGCTGAGCATCGTTGCCCCTGACGATGGGGAGGTCTGGGCCCCTTCGCAGCCCAGCGAACGCGCCAGCCCGCAGCGTCCCGGCCGCCGCGCTGCCGCCGGGCTGCCGCTGGGCGCCGGAGCCGATGCGGGCCGCGATCTCCGTTCGGAGCCGCCGCTGCTCGAGCTCCTCTCGCCTGGGCCAGGGGGCTGGGGCCCAGACGCCCTCGCGCCGTTTTCGGACGTGTTCGTCGGTTCCCAGAGGCTTCCCTGCCACAGGGTGCGTTCCAGCAACTGCGCCTCGCCGAAGGCCTTCCAGGTGCCGGGAGCGTCCCGACCGGCCGCCGGAGGCACGAGCTATGTTCTTGATCATCTTCGGACTCCCGGAGCCCTCGCTGGACCTTCGGGACCGTCAGAATACGGCTCGGGTGAAGAGCCAGCCTCAGGGAAGAGGTCTGGACCTCGGGGCAGCCACGGTGTTAATTACATCACGACGTCCGATGTCTGGGGGCTCAGCCCAGACCTTCAAAGGAAACTTCGAGTTCCTCGACGAGGCCCCCCAACCCTACCAAACAGGGCCCCTTGTCACCGTGGCTTTGGGATTCCCACAGATGGACGAACGGTGCCAACACGCTCCTAACGACAACGCCCCCAGGAATGGAGGCATCTAATGCTCCCAAGGGGTCGGCGGTGCGACGAAAACCAATGAATCTTGAGTCTTACGTTTTCTCATCATCTCCCGTCCCTGGATGCCGTTTTCGTGGCCCGTGGCCCCTAGCAACAAAGACTACGCCTGCGAACTGCCGTGCATCTGCGTGGTTTCCTTCGCCATTGTTTGGATGTTCCGCTCGAATTCCTTATCGATGCAAGACTGCGTCTTGCCATCGTGCGCTGGATGTGCTTGCCGCATTCCCAGACAGCCAGGACCAGCCTGCGGAGCTCGCGAGAGCGCGTGGAAGATCCAATCATCCTGCATGGGTCGCCGCGGGGTCGGTCAAGGAGTTGAGGGATGAGGGGCAGGAGGGACAAGAAACAGGAGAGGGGGAGGACAAGGATGAGGGAGGCTAGTCTTCCGCTCCAGGATAAGCTAGGAGTGGGGAGCAGAAGGGGGGGATTGGGGATGTGAGAAGAAGGAGGAGGCAGTAGGGACATTCGATATGGGGGGACGTGGGGGGTAGTGGGCACGATAGAGCATGGGGAAGGGGAAACCGCCACCGTCACCCCATCAATGCTCTCCCTTTCTGTGGGGGCCTCTAAAGCTCCCTGCAGGTTTTCAAAGGTGTCCCTCGGAGAAACTCCTGGAGGCTTCCAGAGGCGCCTACCAAAAATTTAACCCATACTTCGCCAGGGGAAAGACAGAACCCAAGGCAGAGGCAAGTCGCGCAGGACATGCCCCTCTGCTTTCCACATAGGCAATACGCCGCGAAAAGGAAGACACTCCCTGTGCGTGCCGGAATTTGAGAGAGGACCGCACGTATACTCTGCCGCTGAAGCCTTCGATGGAAATGCCACGAAACGTGTGAGGGGTGTGCCAAAATGAGCGGGGTGGCCGCGTGCGATATCCTGACATTGAGGCCTTCGGTGGAGCTCTGAGTGGCAACAACATGTGTCAGGGGTGTCGAAATGAGGGAATGACCGTATGCGATACCCTGCCGCTGAGGCCTTCGGTCGAGCTCCCTGTGGGACCACGGACCGTTTGATGAGAGTGCCGGACTGAGCGGGGGGACAGCGTGCGCTACCATGCCACTGAGGCCTTCGATCGTGCTCGACCGAACGCGATACCCTGACACGGAATGCTTCGGTGGAGCCTCCTGTGGCGCCATGAAAGGTGATAGCAGTGTCGAATGGGTTGGGACCGCATGCAATACCTTCCCCGTGTGGGGGGTGTTCCAACATGGACGCGCGGAAGGCAAAGGATAGAACAGGAGGTCGAACAAGAGATGCGCGCTGCTGCTTCAAAGCGGGAATCCAAGTCACACCTCTTGCTGCCGCCGCCGCTGCTGCTGCTTCAAGAGCTGCTGCTGCTGATCCTCCTCTTCCTCCCTCTCCTCCTCCCTCTCCTTTTCCTCCTCGCCACCCCCGTGGTCGCCTGAAGGACAATTCGCGCGAGTCATCTCTGGACGCGTCGTGAATGAAGGGGGCCGCCTCCTTGGATAACCTCCGTGCAAAGGGGGGGTCAACCAGGAAACGCGGACAAATGATGCAGAGGAAACACAAAACCAACAGTATTGGTAATATCAACACGCATCGTAATCCGCCGGCCCCCTTGTGGGGCCACCAGGCTGTAGGCGCGAGGTTCGCAGTTTCCTGTACCAGTTGTAGCTTGTAGTTTCCAGTGTTACAGTTCTGCTTCTTGCTGGTTACTGTAACTAGTTGACTTATTGCTGGTTACTGTAACTAGTTGATTGACCGCGCGAGGGGGGGGGAGGCCCAAACGGTATTTTTTAGCACCCCCTGGGCGCGTTGTCTGAATTGCTGGGGGGGCTCGAAATCGACACTCCTCACGCAGATCCGCGGGGTCAGGGTCCAAAAACACAGGGGATTTGCCACATTTCTGAAATTCGGTGCCACCCCTCACGCAGATCCGCGGGGTCAGGGTCCAAAAACACAGGGGATTTGCCACATTTCTGAAATTCGGTGCCACCCCTCACGCAGATCCGCGGGGTCAGGGTCCAAAAACACAGGGGATTTGCCACATTTCTGAAATTCGGTGCCACCCCTCACGCAGATCCGCGGGGTCAGGGTCCAAAAACACATGGGATTTGCCACATTTCTGAAATTCGGTGCCACCCCTCACGCAGATCCGCGGGGTCAGGGTCCAAAAACACAGGGGATTTGCCACATTTCTGAAATTCGGTGCCACCCCTCACGCAGATCCGCGGGGTCAGGGTCCAAAAACACAGGGGATTTGCCACATTTCTGAAATTCGGTGCCACCCCTCACGCAGATCCGCGGGGTCAGGGTCCAAAAACACAGGGATTTGCCACATTTCTGAAATTCGGTGCCACCCCTCACGCAGATCCGCGGGGTCAGGGTCCAAAAACACAGGGGATTTGCCACATTTCTGAAATTCGGTGCCACCCCTCACGCAGATCCGCGGGGTCAGGGTCAAAAAACACAGGGGATTTGCAACATTTCTGAAATTCGGTGCCATCCTTCACGCACATCCATCGCAAGGCGTGGTAACCCAAACTGCGAGAACTCCCTCGGCCCTTTAATCGCAAGGTGTGGTAACCAAGCCCGTAAACCATACACGTCTTACCAATCGCCAGGTGTGGTAACCCCTCTTGTGATCAGTTGGTTTTGCTGATTGCGAATCGGCTTCGCATGAAGTTTCGATACTGCTTCACGACAGCGCCAAGACCTCATGACTTAGCTCTTCCATGGCCCATTCTCCGAGGGAGGGGGCCGGCGGCAGGGGGCGAAGCCCTTACGGATTATAGCGAGACACAACTAAGGACTTCAACAATAATGACATGTAACGCTGTCTGTGCTGTTCTTATCAATTATTCGGGTACTCGAATTACTCGTCATATTCGTAGTGGCCGCAATGGCAGTCGTAGTAATCGTGGTCAGATGAATGGCGCCATGAAGCGTAAGCACATTAACAATAATCGTAGAACCAGCAAGTCTAACAACCGTGGTAATATTCAACTAATCGTAGCAGTAGACGGCAATGTGGCAGTCGTAGCAAGCGTCGTCGTCGTCGTAGTAGTAGTACTAGTAGTAATACACATTTTAATTGTGGTAGAGATCGTAGTAGTAGTGGTAGTAATAGTATTAGTAGTAGCAGACGTAATAGTCGTAGCCGAAGCAGTGGTAGTAGTAGTCGTAGTCGTAGTCGTAGTAGTAGTAGTAGTAGTAGGTAGTAGTAGTAGTAGTAGTAGTAGTGGTCGTAGTAGTAGTAATAGTAGTAGTAGTCGTAGTAGTAATAATAGTAGTAGCAGTGATAGTAGTAGGTAGTAGCGGTACTTGTAGCAGTCGAAGTAATGTTGGTAGTCTGAGTAATAGTAACAGTGGAAGTGGCAGTAGTAGCACTTATAGTCGAAATCGTGGCTGTCACCGTAGTAGTGGTAGTATTAGTAGTATTAGTAGTAGTAGTAGTAGTAGTAGTAGTAGTAGTAGTAGTAGTAGTGGTAGTAGTGATATAGTAATACTAACATTCATAATCGTCGCTGTCGTCGTCGTCTTCGCAGTGCTAGCAGTAGTAATAATAGTAGTAATAATCATAACAGAGGGGGTAATAGTAGTAGTGGTACTAGTAGTGGTAGTAGTAGTAGTCGTAGTAGTAGTAGTAGTAGAAGTAGTAGCAGTAGTAGTAGTAGTAGTAGGAGTCGTAGTAATAGTAGTAGTAGTAGTGGAAGTAGTAGTAGTAGTAGTAGTAGTAGCCGTAGTACTAGTAATACTAGTAAGTCGTATTAGTAGTAGTAGTAGTAGTAGTAGTAGTAGTAGTGCTACTTGCAATCGTGGTTGTAATCGTAGTAGTGGTCGGAATAATAACAATCGTAGTACCGATCGTGGTAGTCGTCGTAGCAACCGTAGTCGATCGTAGTAACCGCAGTCGCGCTTGTAGAAAAAGTAGTAGTAGTACTAGTAGTAGTAATAGTAGTAGTAGTAGTAGTAGTAGTAGTAGTAGTAGTCGCCGCGGTATAGCTATT